GCCCAAGGCGGACCAAGAGGCCCCAAGACGGGCCCAAGAGGGGCTCAAGAAGGGAACCGAGAACTGAAAAATCGAGCCCTCCGCCCCAGAAGGCGCCCAGGACCCCGAAAGAGGCCCCAAGAGACTCTCCAAGACACCCCCAAGACGCCCCAATAAGCTCCCGTGAGGCCCCAAGAGGACCAACAACGTCAGGCCCCAGGCCCCAAGAGGACCAACAAATACCGCCAAGAGCCCGCCGAAAGCCCCCCAAGAGACCGTCACGAGAGCTCAGGAGGCCCCCTGGAGGCCTCCCGAGTTCTCCAAGAGGCCTAAAAAGAGGCGCCAAGAGGCCCCAAACGGCCCCACCGAGGCTCCAAGAGGCCACGAACGCGCAAGCAAACGCCTGCGATGGCACAATACGGGCCGGCGGAATGAGCGAAGCGATTAAATAATCAAACTATGCCCCCACATGGTCAAAGCACATTCACAAATCCCCACACTATGCTTTCACTGTTTTTGAATATTCCTCCTGTAGAGGGACAGGCCCGACTCAACACTAACTCTCGTCGAGGATGCAGAACAAGTGGCAGGGACGAAGGGCGGCACGCACCGCGCCCTGGATTTCCTGCCGTCGGCTCCGCCAACCGCGTGGCGGAAATCCCGCCAGCCGTCTGGGCGTAGGTGGTCTACGGGAGGCTCCTCTTCCAACCCCCTTCTTCCCCTTCGGGGAGGGGTTTATCACTGTTCCCTAATAGTAAACACCCCCTCCCCCAAGCGACTGGGGGCCAACCCAGGTCCATGACGACACCCCCCCCACAATCCCTTGTAAAAGACCATATAAAGCACACTCTGCCTCCATACCCGATGCGCCCCCCCACCATCCCTATCAAAAAAACAATACAGAGTACACTTGGCGGAGGCTGCGGCGGCGGCTGCGGCGGCGGCGGCGGCGGCTGCGGCGGCTGCGGCGGCTGCGGCGGCGGCGGCGGCGGCGGCGGTGGCGGCGGTGGCGGCGGCGGCGGTGGCGATAGCGGCAGCGGCTGCGGCGGCGGCGGCAACGGCGGCGGCAACGGCGGCGGAGGCGGCGGAGGCGGCGGTGGCGGCGGCGGATTGGCCCCCAGTAACTACCCATCCAAAGACGACTGCTGAATATGCTGAGGCTCGGACAAAACTTGGGTGCTACGTATGTGTTGGGAGGGCGGGTGGGTGTGAGCCAGACGGCTTGAGGGCGGGGGGGGTCTTGATCCCTCTCCCCTGGACCTGGACGGGGGGGGGCGGCGAGGCCTTGGAACGTCCAAGATGGCCAAAAACGGCTCCAAGAGGGCCCCTGATTCCCAGATGAGCTGCAAAATGGCGATGGCGAACGATGCCTCAAGATGGCTCCCAAAATGCTCCAAGAGGCCCCAAGAACGTTCCGATACGGCTCCAAGAGTCCTCCGAGACCTCCACGAAGTCCCCAAGAAGCCAACATCCTTCAAACAACTAAGGAGAATCACGGATTGTTGATTTCTCGCCTTTTCGCTTCTGATGGCCATCCGAGGCCTCAAGATGGCCCCAAGATGGCTCAAGAGGGCCCCAGGGGAGACCCAAGAGAGCCCCAAGAGCGCTCCAAGAGCGCCCAAGAGCGCTCCACGAACGCCCCAAGATTGCCCCAATAGGCGACTTATGGGGCTCTCCAAGGGGGGGGGGGGGCGAATTAGGGAGCCCCTCTTCTTTGATCGATCGCCTCCAAGATTGCCCCAAGAGCGCTAGTAAGGCTCCCAAGAACGCCGCAAGATGGCCCCAAGAGGCGCCTAGACGACCCCAGTATGCGATGCCTCCAAGAGGCTCCCAAAAAGGCTCCCAAGAGGCTTCAAGAGGATCCCCCGAGGCACCCAAGACGCTCAAAGACGGCCCTGGGTTCGCTCCTCCTCCTCCTTGTTTTTGTTCCTCCTCCTCCTTGTCCTCCTCCTTCTCCAGTCTCTTCCGCCTTCCTCCTCTTCACCCTTGTCCTCCTCCTTGTCCAGTCTCGTCCTCCTTCCTCCTCTTCACCCTCTTCCACCTCCTTTTCCTCCTCATTCTCCTCCACCATCCTCCCCCCCTTGGGGTATCGGACGGCTTCCCCCGTCCGTTGTTCTTCTGCATGCTTCCCCACCTCCCTGACCACCTCAGCTCCCCTGGGCATCGCTTCTGGATGGGCCGGTGGGAGTACTTTTTAGTCAGCGGTCGCAGGCGAGAGCGCCAGCGGCGATGCCAGTCAGAATGGGCAGCGCAAAGACGAATTAACCTAAAGCGGTGGGACGAATCCTCACGCAGCACCTCGGCACTGGTGGGGATACTGTTTAGTCAGCGGCCGCGTGCAAGCGCGCCGGCGGCGAGTCAGGTCAAAGCGGGCTACGCAGAGACTAACTAGGCAAAGGAAACGCGAGAAAAATAAAGCAGAGGCGACGCGCAAGGCAACTGGTGGGGATATTTTTGTTTTTGGTCGCGGCCGCGAGACAAGAGTCAGGCGGCGAAAGCAAAGTCCGGGGCGCGAGCGAGGCAAATTAGCTACAACAGGCACAGGCCGGCCGGCCCACTCACAAAGCAGCCGCGAAGCTGAAGGGGAGCTGACGGCGGGGGGCATCCTGAGAGCTCGAGCACGTGCACAGGACAAAGTGTCATGGAATTCGGTGCCTGCCATGGCACGACCCACACAGTAAGAGACGTGGACCAGGATGACCAAATCCGTTGTTCTGAGTGGGGGCAAGTGAGAGGCCTGTGGAGTGAGTCGCCGGTGGGGCGCCAGGCTCCAAGCGCCATTGACGACGTGAGCTAGCCAGGGGGGCTGAGCTGTCGCGAACCGTGGTGCAACGCAACTGGGGAAAGCTGATTGTGAGCCTGGAGTGCTGTACCTGCTGCGGAAGGCTGAACCACTCCGTAACGATGCCAACACTGGTGGGGATACGCGAAACGTCAACAATTCGACGCGACGCACATCGCGCGAAGGCCGCGCTGGCTGGGCTCTCTGGAGGCACTCGGAACGTCGGAGGCTGGAGGCTGCTTTTATATGTTCTGTGGCCTCGGGGGCCGCCTTTTCTGGTCTCCCGGTGAGGGTCGATCGGAATTCTAGCACTCCAATCTAATAGGGGACCACATGCGAACCCTACCCCTACCCCCCACGA